TTCCTAAAGTAAAACACAGTCTTCTTTTCAATAAATGATATATATGCATTCTTTATAACTACATATTGTTAGGATTGTACTATATAACCATAACCAGCATCTAAATGAGGACATTAATAATGAACAATCTTTGAAATCGTATACCCTAGCTTTAAACTTGACGCGTCCGTATGAGCCCAAAGGTGCGCACGGCAAAAGTGGCATATTGTAACAGCGCGTGTGCCTTCACAACCCCTAGATACCATTTACTACATACAATAGGCTTTTTTTTACTGATTTTTAAAACTCTTCGCGATCGACTTAAAATGCTTTCAAGATCGACTTGTCGACCGCGATCAACGGGTTGGTGATACCTGTATTATACTTATGGTCAATGATAAGAGTAATAATCAGCTGTCTCTCGAACAAAACCAGCACATTTATCCCCACATAGCAAACCCATAACACAGCGAGGGAGAATAAAGTTACATGAAACAATCCAACTACATATTTTACACCACTGACAAGGGAAAAGTCACTACTCACCATGTCTATGGCTTCTAACTTTCTGCTGCTTCTCTTTCAAGGTAGTGACGAAACGTGCTCTGTAGCGCCATTTGTTCACGGTCATCTAAGGTAGAAACATGACATCACAATATGTCAACCTTCATAGAAGGGGGTGCCCGCGGTTAGGCCGTGTGTCCACCAAAGCGCTCGGCACTTCAGCGTGAAAAAAAAAAAAACGCTCAGTGCCTTGTTACGCTCATGCCATTTAAAAAACGTGCCACTCCCATTGAAAACAATTGAAAACGTACGCCAGGCGCGTGGAAAAACCCTTTGGTGGACACACGGCCTTATGTAGATAAATGTCTCATTGTAAGGTAATAAAGACAATACAGTTTATTAAGTAAGTTCTTTATACACCACTGAAAAAATAGTTATGGATGTCATATCGGTCTTTGTCAGGTGACGTCACACTCGTGATACACAAAGTGCATTATGGGCGTAGCCGCCATTTCGATGCTGGGGTTTTCTGTTGTTGGAGAATTGTTTTTTTCATTCTTTTTTTCAAAATAAACCATCCTTAACATGACACTATCATCATCATGAATACAGAAAACCTATCTTTGCTGTTACTAACTTCACAGGATTTATTTACATTCCTACCGAAGGATACAGTAACTTGGTGAAATGTCCGGAAAGAAATGTCTGAATGGATGACAATTTCTAAAAAAAAAAAAAAAACGGTCCCTGCCACATTTATTGAGTTTAGTGCGGTACGGCATTTTCTCAGTTTTCTTGTGCTTCTGCTGTTTTGAGAGTTATTTACCTGTTATCTCGTAATCTATTCAATGCTAACACAAGCCGTTTCTCAATATGCGTACTTGTCTGTACTTGTGTTCTTGTGGACTTGTGAAACGTCATCAGTCGCTGCCGCAGTACTGTTCCAATTCAAAGTTCACATCTAGCCAAGTCCACTTCAAATCCCCGGATGTGTTCTTGATCCGCGCTGTTTACCGAGGATGCATCGAGAGGTGACTTGTGGACTTGAAATAGCCAGGTAACCCAGAATGCACCTCGCACCAACCAGCAAGCGTCAATAGGAGAGGAGAAAGTCCGCAAAATATCAAAATACTACTGTTATTGAGTCATGAAATGTAATTTTAAGAGTGTTTCAGGCGAGAATGTGGTTGTTTAAATCTCAAATCTGTAGTTTATTTATAAAGATAGCGCCTATCTGAAAAATGTATCTGACGTTAATCGGAGTTCTGACATCAAAGCCTTCAACGGACACTCAGCGAGATCAACCCCGAGTGGAACAGGCTAGTGCTTCTGACGTTTGCCGCCGGCTCTGATCTCTCTAGTCTAGTGGATAAACCTTGACGTATAATTCGTCTTGTGTATAAGTCTATCTTTGGTCTCATTAAAATATAGTTTGTTCCATGGCGCAAAAAAAATAAATAAATAGTTTTTGAGGTTTCATGGCTATTTAACTTCAACAACATTTTTTTTTATATCATCTTCACTATATGAACAATAAAATAAAATGACAACCCTGTCTCAGTTTGATAAATGTCAATAAAAATCAATGTTTCATATTTTTAAAATGAAAACAAAAAGATCATGTTCATTTTGTTATAAATATATGCATGGCCTGAACCACATGGCCATTAGGCTAATAGGCTATGTTGTTTTTTGTTAATGAAAAGAGTCAGATGGGTGTTTTATAACATATTTTGTTTTATTGTTGACGAAAAGATGCAGAGTTGTAGCAAATTTCGTTTTATTGTTGCCTAAAATATAGAGTAGAGCGTGCTGAGTGACGCGATCAAGTACGCTCTGTTCCATTTGCAGAAGAACCGGTGTTCTGTCGATCTGTCCTACCTTGTCAGATTTTCCTACCGTAGCGCAAAATTATAGCCATATCTATCGGTTCATCCTACCTCGTCGTAAAATCCTACTGAGCGTTTCTGCTTCGCGTCTGTGACTGTTACATAAAATATTTCTGTGTAACTTTGCCGAATTTTCTTATTAGGCCATGTTACGGTGATTTTACAGTGCAAAGTAACGTTACCTCTTCAGATTGTCCTATGAAATAAACGATAGGATGATATTACGTTGCAAAATACCTCACCAGATTGTCCTACCAGTATGAAATAAACGAGTAGAATGATTTTACAGTGCAAAATGCCTCATCAGATTGTCCTACCAGTATGAAATAAACGAGTAGAATGATTTTACGTTAATGTTTTCATGAAAAAAATGCTAATATGAATTTGCTTTGTAGCTATGAATGTGAGAGTAAACAGTTCTCATTACTGCTATATATCTTTGTATAGTAATAATTGACAAAAATAGTGAAAAACTTACCTCAGATGAAGAAGATCTCGCGCAAGTAGTAAAATATTATGGGCGTGTTGTTCAGCGTGACAAAAATGACGTATTATTGATGTGCGCATGCGCAGTAAGCCTTGGTAGGACAATCTGACGGGTAGGATGGAATGTCAGAACACCGGACTTGCGTCCTTGCATCCTCGGGAGTTCGTTCTCCGGAGTCGAACTTGGCAAGTCTGAACTACCAAGGACGCAAGTCCGAAGTCTGCGTACTTGGTATTGAGAAACGGCCACAGTCAGTAGCGATACCTCAAAAATGGCGCCGCGGTGACGTCACACACAACAAACCCACGTGTCTGGCAAAGACCGATTGCATTTCTGTTAATAGTTACTTAAAATATTTACACATTGCACCTTTAATTTAACGAGCGGTGCAGCAAAAACAGATTCGATGCCGAACCAGCCGAATCCCCTTCACTGCTCACCCATGGCTCTGTGCTCACCCAAAGCTCCTGCTCGACGCACACGCGCTGCTCCTGCTTCCAGTGTGATCAATGCACTCACAAAATAAGATTAAATGCATGCTGTGTGAAACGGCCGTTAGATAGGCTACACATGGCTCTGGGCTACACGCCATCGTGTGCACAAATCTGACCTATCGTCTTCTTCCTCGACTAATTTCAGACTGTCCCTCATATACGTCATCTGGTATAATTGAAACGATTTGACAGAAGCAAGCACCCAATTAACGGCTCTGGGCATTCGTAAACCACGCCTAAATATATCTCCTGGGGCATTTTTTCCTAACTTTATTGTAACATTTTTTTCTAACCATGCATTTATAGGCCTACTGCAAATTACTAGCGTTATGATATTAATTATTTAAATATAATCATTTTAATAAAGAGACAATTAATTAATAATAATAATAAATTATATATATATTTTAAATTATGAAAATAAAACCGCCAGTTTAGGCAGATATTGTGATAAAAAAAAATGTGTGTTATTTCTGGTTTAAAGAAGTCATGTGACCTCTGAGTTTGTCAGACAGATTCTGTACTGGACTTAAATGAAAGCCTAGGGTCCCCTTTCCAACGAAACCAAGCACCATATTATAGCATATTGACAATATCCTTAGCATGAGCCTAAACAAGATATAAACCAGACTTCAAAAACAGAATTTATTTTATGGGGTTAGTAACTTCATGAGCTGAAAAAGGTGATTTCGCTACCACCTCTGCACTGCTATTGTGATTTTTCTAGTACTTGTGTATACCTTGCCAAAAAACAATGATAGCATTTGTCTCCCCGATGATACCGATCAAACCCCCTCGCTCATGGACTCATGCATTACATATGACGGAAGTAAATAACCACCACCATCAAGCTTTTTAAAAAAAGATGCGAAAGTATCACAGAATGATCTCATGCAACACGTGCCATATAGTGTTCAGGGGGTATACGATAGGGTTTGTTTTTTGAACAAACAACTGTAATTTTATGTTGTTGTTTAACAATTCTTGACCTTGCATGGCCATAGGTCTTCTGCGCAAGGCTCTATGACGTGTGAGTCAATGAGAATCTAAGGCCTCAGTTTACTCCGTCTTGATGAGAAAAAGCATGTTTTGAGATATCAAGATGAACAAAAACACGTTCCTGTGAACTATCCCTTTAACAGGTATAAATTTGGTTTTACAAGAGAAAAAATCTATTAGGAAAAAAATCCTAATTGAAGTAAGAGTGGATGTTGCAGTTGAAAAGATGCTTTGGAGAATGCTTTAAGATGTAATGATTTAGAATGCATGTTAAACTGACATCTAAACGTCTATTTGACATCTGACGGGAAACGTCCTAGACGTATTGCAGATGAGCAAACACTGGTAAAAATACGTCTTCCAGATGTAAACATCACATCAAATAGACTTGTGCTATCTGGGTCTTAGGCACAGCAGATGTGTGAGGAAGTTCTTGGACATCGGCTTGGTGCGTCACAACCTTTAAACAATGTCCACTTAAACATTAACAAGTGTCTTCTTTGTGGCTTGCCTGTAATAAAAGCAGGTAACTATTTCTTAAACAAAACAAAAAAAAAATTCACCTGCATTTGGTGGCAAGAGTTATTTTGAACCCTGATTACACCAGCTCACCCTTAGACCAATTGAAGAGATCAGACTCAGAATAAGTTTTCAACTATAAAGTCTTTTAATGATCATTACAGAGTGAAACGCAGTGAACAGACCGGTACAACAAAAACAAAACAGCAAAAAAAGAAGTCTGGAACCAAGATCGTACATGTCAGTTGAAGCAGCCGGCATCTCAAGTCTTTAAGCTTCTCGTACTGGTGTTACAGTTAAAGTGGACCCTCAACCTTGAAGATACAAACATGGGAGAAATTCCTCATGTTTTCAGTTCCCACAGAACGACCAGCAGACATTTTTAGATTTATAGACACAGCTCCAGAATGAAACAAAAAACTGAGTAAAAGAAAAATCGAAATGTGCCTCCAATTCTACCTTTAAACACCACCCACACGCACCCCACTGCACATCCCAACAAACAATGCGAAATTGAAGAAAAATAAATCAAGGCACAAATATGAATACTGCAAAAAATGTAACACTCTTCACATTACAGATCTGTAATGGTGAATAAATTATCTTTTAAAATGTTCTCTATTGTTTCTTCTGGATATTTTCGAAAAGACAGCTGAACAGGATGGGGCCGCAATGAGAGGGGTCGGTTTGGGGTGAAAAATGATATGCAGACAAATGACCGCACTAAACAAATCTTCCTTAAAAGCTACAACTGATTTATTACCAGAACCAAACACACCAGGGCAGTCCGTTTCCCATAAAACACTTTATATCAAGGGAATGGGGCATGACACCACCACCACCAAAAAGTGAAATAAAAAAAATAACAATATTCAAATCAACTTAACATTCAATATTCATATTGCAACCCACCTCACTTTAAGAACGTTGTGTAAATCTCTGTACTTATCTGTGTAACCAAATAAAAGCATTTTGCAGCAGCACAAAAGCTAATGATTAACACGATCCGTAACAGGCCTACCTTCACTCTGTTAGCACACTAAAGTGTGGCCTACTGCCTGCAAAACTGTGAGGATGGAATAATACTTCTTTATTTGAGCATTTTGGAAACTAGTACTTGTTAGCCACACTTTCTCTCTTCAAAAACCTATAACCGGTCTAAAATGCCTCTATTTCTACATTAAACAACACCTACCGGTTTTAATCTCATCAGCTGCCTCAACACTAACACAGGGCGTAAAACAATAGCTTGGCATCCCATATTTGACGCCAACTTTGCCTAAACTTTGCTTATGTAAATTCGTTGGCCCTGTGCGGTGGAAAAGCGAGGTGATGTTTTTTTTTCAGTCATGTTCCACTTCATTCTCTTGCCTACAGCCTCTTACACCAGACTGCATGACATACTTGTACACAAACTCACTTCATGTATCCCAAAAAACACTCGCAGACCTTCAAAGCGACTGGCTTGAAATGTTTAGATTGAGATTTACCACACAATGCTGAAAGAGAGTAAAAAAATGGGGTGTTTAATGAGGAAAAGCCGACTTTGGCACCAGTAACCTCCATTGAAGCATATTATATTCAGTTTATATCTGAAATTACAGAATTTTTCAAATCCTCATCCGAGTTGGTCAAATGTTTGTGTTTTTTTTTTTTTTTGTAACCACAGATCTGTAAACGGGTCTGATTAGACCTGACTGCTAGTCTGATGGTTTTGAAAGAGACTGTAAACAACAGACTGGGCACTGGAGATCACTTCGGGAACACCATACCAGGGTTTCAGGAAATCATCCACTGAGAAAAAGACAAAGTAAGCTGAGGACCTCAGAGATGCCATGGCTCAGCTACACTTTAGAGACATGCAGATGGAAAGAACCTTGAAAGCAGGTGCAATAAAGCGTTTTTGTGAACTGTGAGTGTCTCAACTTCAAGTTTCATTAAGTCCAGTTAATATCGCAGACCATGCTGCTGACAAAATAATCACCATCGATGTCTAATTCTGAGTGGACAGATACACAAGCACACAGATAGCAAGAGAAGACATGACATAGCAGTTTTAGAACATTTTTATGATAACTTAAAATATACACAAAACAAATTAAGCAATGTATGGTACATCGACAACTCAAAAAAAAAAAAGAAATTATATACAAAAAGGCAAACATATACCAACAGCTTGTACTGCTCAAAACTTTAACAGCATAAAGTCGTCATGGCCCAAGGGTACTCCGAATGCCATTCAAGAGCAACTGAGAAGTCGCCCTCTCATCTTGGCCCTCCCGGAGCGCAACATCACCCAGTAATTCACACTGAGAGCTACACACACACAAACAAGACAAAAACACACAGGTTGAGACACACGCCAAACCCGGCGAAGGGCGTTTTGGCTTTAGCAGCTGCGAACCTGACTGACCTACAAGTCATCCTGCGAACGACCCGTCTCCTAAACATCTTGCTATCATTTCAGTCATATCGTTTACCACCTTGGAGTGCACTTCAAAAGTGAAAAATGAGAATGATTATGCTATTAACAAAATTAAAGACAAAAAAAAATTCAATATGACAAAAAAAAAAAAAAATTCTTTAAGACAAAATAATCATTTAACAAAAAATAAATTAAGGCATGCAGCAGGTAATGATATCGGTATTCTGTTTTTGATTCTTTCTTTCTTTTTTTTTTTTTTGCATTCTGCAGTCATTGCTGATATTCACTGTCAGTCGTGTCCCACACCATTGAAGAATAAAAAACATAATGAACAGAAGTCAACAATTAGCTGCCAAAAAGAAGAGTGTTTCCACTGGAATCACAGGCGTCTTTTGGGGCGGGACAGAGCTAAAGCATTGTTTAAAAGGCCAGTTATTTACAGGGGAGTCAGGGTCATGCACGCAACTCATCACAGCCTTCTGTTTAGCCATGGAACTGAGGGGAAAATAAACTTAACACACCACCATGGTGAAATGTATATCGTTATACAAGGAAAAAGTTGAAGTGAAGGACCGATTTAAAATACATCCATTTAAACTGCATTGACGTCTTCTAAACAATTTGTCTCTTAAAAAACGATATGTATAAAAAATTATACTAACAGAACATGACAAAATGTCTATTGGCGTCAAGAGTGCTGTTGTAATGTAAAACCAAGCTTTCTACAATGTAAGCACAGATGACTAGATCTAAAGTTTGATAGCCTATAAAATTCAATTAAGGCTTCGCAGTAAACATCTGATTTGTTGACGCTGGCACTCCCCACCTTTTTTAAAAAAAAAAAAAAATGTGTTGTAATCTGATTCGCTAAAGCCAGCATGGACATAGGAACATGCAATTAAACGCACGCAGTCACGCTAATACACTTTTCACAGATATGATCCAGTAATCTTACATACGCGCACACACACACACACACTCACGTCACACAACTAACTGTGCATTAGACAGGCCTTTGCCCTCCTCACTCCTGTTTTTAAGGGCATTTGGCATCGATACATCACATTTTCTGACTCTGGGTCACGCCGAGGGGGCGAAGCCTGTCAGTACTCGGTTATGGGGGCGAGCTCGGGATTCAGATTGACCGTGATGTTCTTATACAGGCTGCTCAGGGAGATCTCTGGAGAGTACTGCAGATTGTTCAAGCCGTCCAGATGCTGTCGCTCTTTCGAGTACCTCAGCAACTTGTACCTGAGGGGAGGACGAGATGAACGCGAGTTAGTGTCTCCTTGAGATAATTTACTACAATTTGCTGAGGTCTATGTACATATGACTGCAAATATGACTTTCACACATAGGTCAATCCACTCTAGGCTACAAAGCAACAGATGAATGCAACTTTTGTTTAAGGTCATGTGAAGTGTAAGCAGGTCAGAGTTAAAGATCGAAGTGTGCAGTAAAAAAAAAAGCTATTTTCACCTTCCAAATATTAGTTCTTGAATTCCTAGCCTCCAAAATCGCAGATAAAAAGAAAGGAGATTGATGAAGGGGGAGCAGTGACAATTTTCCTTCACAAAGTGCTTGTTAGATTTAAAAAAAAAAAAAAAAGGTGCTTCCTCAGTTTCAACTTGGCCCTCTGCTAAGCATGCAGTTCCTGTTTTTAGGGCCCAAGCCCAGGGAACGCAGGATCCTATTGTTTTCTAAAGGATATTCATTATTATTGTTTTTCTTTAAACCTCTTGGGGGCCTTAACATGCTCAAACTCTTGAAACTTGCACGCATAATAGAATTGTCAGCCATTAAGGCTTGGCAATAGTTGACATGGGGGGGGGGGGGGGGGGGGTATTCCATGTTTTGGAATCTAATACTTAAAGTCAGGAATCACATACTGGATATAAAATTAAAAATTCAATTCCTCTTATCAATTCCTTACTGTGTGCATTTTAATATGACTTTAATCCATTCAAGTGAAAGACCCACACGCTGTTTTCTGTGCTGCACACACATCTAAAGCGCGCTCACAGAAAGTAATATTTATGTGATTTTTATCCGTTCAAGTGCAAGAAGGCTCGCACGCTATTTTCTGTGCTGCGCACATCCAAAATTTGCACACAGAAAGCCGCATCTCATACAGTGTAGCGTGAGATACTGAAGTGAGTTCTCTTCCATGTCTTTTTGCACTTGAAGACAAAAAGGCACAAAAATATGTCAAAATAAACTCGTAGACACAGTCAGTTAAGTCTTAAGTGAACATAAACAGTTGACAAAGAAAACGCACATGTAACAGTATTTTGGATCTTTGCTCGCTATTTAAAAAAACCCCACAACCAAGAACTTAAAGAGACGGCAGCCTAATATTCCTGCCGCAGTCTCTAGAATAACGTTAATCAAGCGACAGAGTAAATTCACTCGCTATTTAAAAAAAAAAAAAAACCACAACCAAGAACTTAGAGACGGCAGCCTAATATTCCTGCCGCAGTCTCTAGAATAACGTTAATCAAACGACAGAGCAAATTCACTCGCTATTTTAAAAAAAAAACAACCAAACTTAAAGAGACGGCAGCCTAATATTCCTGCCGCAGTCTCTAGAATAACGTTAATCAAGCGACAGAGTAAATTCACTCGCTATTTAAAAAAAAAAAAAACCACAACCAAGAACTTAGAGACGGCAGCCTAATATTCCTGCCGCAGTCTCTAGAATAACGTTAATCAAGCGACAGAGTAAATTCACTCGCTATTTTTAAAAAAAAAAAAAACCACAACCAAGAACTTAGAGACGGCAGCCTAATATTCCTGCCGCAGTCTCTAGAATAACGTTAATCAAACGACAGAGCAAATTCACTCGCTATTTTAAAAAAAAAAACACAACCAGGAACTTAAAGAGACGGCAGCCTAATATTCCTGCCGCAGTCTCTAGAATAACGTTAATCAAGCGACAGAGTAAATTCACTCGCTATTTTTAAAAAAAAAAAAAACCACAACCAAGAACTTAGAGACGGCAGCCTAATATTCCTGCCGCAGTCTCTAGAATAACGTTAATCAAACGACAGAGCAAATTCACTCGCTATTTAAAAAAAAAAACACAACCAGGAACTTAAAGAGACGGCAGCCTAATATTCCTGCCGCAGTCTCTAGAATACCCACAACCAAGAACTTAGACACAGCAGCCTAGTATTCCTGCCGCAGTCTCTAATAACGTAAATCAAACGACAGAGTACATTCACTCGCTATTTAAAAAAAAAAACAACCAAGAACAAAATTTTAAATTAGCCCATCAATTTTCATTTTACAATATCTTCTCTCTTTAAATGCTCTGTGTGTGTTTGTGAGAGAGCTCATGCAGAACTGATACAACAGCACGTTTTAATCCATAAGTAATTAACGCGCCTAGTTTATTATGTAACATAATTAGGTACTTTAGTTACTTTACAGGCTACGTTTCTCAACACTTAGAATGAATAAAAACACCTGTTTCTCCAGACTCACACTTATCAGTCATCTACAAATCACAGCACTTTCATAATCTCTAAGCCATAGCGATTTTAATTTTATTTAGATTTATTGTTCATAAATACTTCTTATAAATTATAAAATTGTATTTTATAATTTTAATGGCTGAATGATGTCTTCCTCTTATCTGAGTGACCATGAATGACGGAGTATTTTAAGATAGTTCATGCGATCAGTCCCATGTGATCCACCCCAGCCCGTTTACCATCAGGAATCAGAAGTATCGTGTCTAGTGTACCGTCCTCGCTTACGAAATCAGTCAGACAGCTGGCCGCGGGAGTGGAAGGGGTAGCTACTTGCTATTTGGGGGGAATGAACCCAGTGCGATGATTGGTCGAACTCCGCTCAGGGCTCCAGACTGCGACCAAATGGTCGCATTTTGCGACCAAAATTTGGGAGTGTGCGACTGAATTTTACATCCAGTCGCACATGTGCGACCAGTAAATTTGCCGCACGTTAAACGCATGGTAAAGCGTGGAAGGGGCGCGTCAATGAATCCGTGACAAGAATAGCGCGCGTAAACGTCTGTGGGAAGGAGACGGAGACAAATATCACAACCTGATGTGCGTCTGAGCAATCAGCGATCTATCGACTCGTTAGTCGTTACCTAGCAGCGAACGCAAACAAAATGAAAGTGGAACGAAAATACGTCACTCATAGGACCGTGGAGCAGCAGCAGCGATCCGAACCATTGACGGTAAAATAAAGCCAGAAACTTGCCAGTCGCGGGCCGATCTCGCTCACGCAACACTGTTAATAGGAGATCCAGTGAAGAAATCCATTGAATTCGCCTCAGAATTAATAACATCAACACCACGAGATCCAGTGAGAAACACTCCGATTCGGCGCAGAGTTCTGTTATAAACCATATCAGATCAAACAGCGCTGACGTGGAAACCAGGAGAAACACTTATAGAAGGCTTCCAGTCCACAAATCAGCCTAACAGAACCATGGATTTAGGCTAATGTAGTAAGTTAACTCTAACCATAAATATGATAATGTGTAAGAAAGTCAAATGCTTACAAGTAGCCTAGCAGCTACACATCTTTTCCCAGCACTTCAATAATATCATATATAAATGTTTTATTTTTTTGTATTTTTTATGTGATTACCAACACATTTTTTGTTCATCCTTTAAAGATTGTCCTAAAAAGAAAAAAATTGAGATGTTGGAAAGCTCTTATTTAAACACTTTAAAAAAATAATAATACCATTGTAAACAGTAGGATGTGTATTGGCTATTTTCGCTCCATATACATATTTTCACTACTTTTATTAATTAATATAAAGACATTATAAATGATAATAACTAAAGTTAATTTCATTCTACACCCTAAATTAAGCTTAGTGATTTATTGTCAGCACCAGTGCTACCAGATTTTTTTTTTTTTTTTGTAGAACTCGCTGTGAGTTCTCATTTGAGGTGATGCTGCCCTCAACTTTGAGTCTGAAACCCTGTGAAGTTAAAACAAAACAGCATATCATAATGTTAAGTCTATTTATTATTAAAGAATTTGTCAGTATTACAGTTATTTTGGGGGAAATTTGAATAATTGCATTGCAAGCTGATTTTGCCCCTAAATTTTCAGCTTGCGCTCCTAAAATTTTCAGTTAGGGGCAACAGCGCTCCTAGTAAAAAAAGTTAGTCTGGAGCCCTTTTGCTGTTGCTTGATTTGAGGACTGCGCGCGCACAGGGGCGTCACCAAGTTTTTGTATAGTTTAGTATGACATCTCGTACCAGCGTACTTTGAGGTCAAAATGCGTACCGGCTACACAAAATGCATACAGGTTAGCAGGTGTGTGTGTACTGACCTCCCCAGAAACTGCACTTCTCCTCGGTGGTGATGGGGAATAGATTTGTATTTGCCAATATCACCTTCTGGCCTGGTCACGTTGAAACCTGCATAATGAACCCTGAGAACAAGAAACCCACCCAAACACACATGTTTCTGTTACATATGCATTTATTTGTTTATGATAACATGACATACTTTAGTCACGCACAGAAATATGGTGAAGCAACAAATTGTTGCTGTTGGTTATAAATTGTTGGTTATAAATGATGTGTTATGCTGCTCTTAGAAATATGCACATTATCCAATTAAACATAACTGACCTGTTCCAGAGGTCATCGTCCTCTCCGCCCCAGCCCCAGAATGCATTGGGAAAGCCATTGATCTTGAGGAATTGTTCGACAGTAAGTCCACTTACTCCACCGAAAAACTCATTGTAGGGCAGACTGAAAACACACACACATACACGCACACTTCAACACTCAGTAAACTGAAGTACCACTATGCAATCAGAAGAGAAGGAGCGGGGGAAAAAATAAAAAGAAGAAACAGAAACCTTACCATCAGGAATCACTTGAAAGCAATAGGCAACAAAAAAACAAGCCTTTTAATAGCACAGACTGTAATGCTACTTCACAAGGTGATGGGGAGATACAGCACACTTACTTCCTTGCAATCTCCCCACAAAGCATTTTGGTTTCAACCAGAATCCGTTCACATGAACAACCGTCCTTAAAACTCAACCAAGGCAAAGCTGAACCACGGGGTCTAAAATCAGTTCTTGGTCACATGCAAAATAAGGGTAAATTCTCCAACAACCCCAAATACTTGGAGACAATTAGAGCGGTGTTTACACTTCATTACACAAATGACCATCTGCATAACAAAGACTCCCAAAATCACCACGTCCCAAAAGCATTTCGGTCTAACGTTATCCACAAGTTTCCTACGCCCCATGAGGCCTTGCGTCAAAAGTGGGCGCGACTTCCGGTTTGAAGTAAACAATGCGCTACTTGACATGCTTGACACTCGTTCATTCAACAGTTGACAGTCATTCAAGTTATAGCGATCCAAACTAGCTAACGATGTGGGAACCTCAACGAAATTCAAAAGGGTGAAATAACAGTACCTTTACCTCCGCAGTAGTTGAGTGGGAGTATTATAATAACATTATTAATAATCAATACTGATCAAGGCATGTTGACAGACAGTTGTGCGAGCTGACAAACAATTAAAATAAAAAATACACACTTAGTCATTGTGCTTTGGAGTTTATTCAAAATTATAAATGAATGTGCTACTTGAATACATTAACTGGCACATTTGGTATTCTGTCAACACAGGCTTTGATCCTGAGTTTAGGTGTAACATCATTAGAGAACAGCCAAACACATGCTGATAGAGTTTATAGAATATTAAGATTTTAAACAAATGTACACAGGATGATTCGTTGTCTTTTGGGAGGTTGATGAAAACTTCAGTCGTTGGTAGGATCACTGTGATTTCGTTTTCAGCTTATGTTCAAAACAATCCCGTTTAAGCCACTGAATTAGTTTAGTCCGGTTATACATACAACCGCAAACAGCACATGTTGTCCCTGAGCTCCGTAACGACATCTCTCACAAAGATTTGCGTCTTTAAATAGTAAAATAATTCTCAGAAAAACAGCTAGCCTCTTCGCTAACTAACACACAAAATACCATTGGAATGCTACTTCCGCCGCCTCACCGGAAGTTTCACCCACTTTATTTTTTACATGAGCGCTAGGCTTGCCGCGATAGACGGTGTTGACGGTGTTACCGGTTTTAAGCCCCATCACCGGTGACATCACTTTCCCACCGTGACACCGCGATGTCTTGACTTTTTTTTTTTAAAGTCTTCGTTTTTGCTAAAATATTTATTTGAATTAATTAAAAATAATAATTTTCAATTATTTAGTTCTGAAGAGAGCATTATAATTAAAAATGAACTGCGCAACGCGTGCCGTCACGTCACAGATCAGCAAGCATCAGGATTCCATTTAGCACGTGTGGAGACCAGAACGAGTCAAATTACAGAAAAGCAAGATAATGGCGGAAGATTTGGTGTCAAAACGCAATGCAAAAGCGCCTGTTTGGCAATATTTTGGCCAATATATATTAATGTTAATAAATGCCAATTTATAGTGTTTTACTTTTTTTTAGAGTGCTGTCATTTATGTAGGCTAAGGTCCTTTTTAAAGTTTTTATTTTATATTCGTCTCTTTTTATTTGGTTTTATCTTATTTAAACTTTGTTTAATTTATTTAGGCCTATTTTGTTTTCTTATTCGTTAATAAACGTTTTATTTTTTTTGGGCCCACAGTTTGCCGATTTTCACTTTTTTCAGCCTATGCATGGGGTTATTTTTATTCGTTCGTTATGCTAATAAAAGTTCTGTCTATATTTTATTCGTTTATTATTCTAATAAAAGTGCTGTCTAAATAAAAGTTTATTGTCAGTGAGTTTTTTTTTTTCCATTCCAGCAATTGTCGCTGAATTGCAATTGACGCTTATTTCGAAAGTGAAAGTATGTCATTTATGTAGGCTAAGGTCCGTTTTGAAGTTTTTATTTTATATTCGTCTCTTTTTAATTGGTTTTATCTCATTTAAACTTTGTGTAATTTATTTAGGCCTATTTTATTTTCTTATTCGTTAATAAACGTTTTATGGTTCTTATTTGTTTGGGCCCACATTTTGCTGATTTTCACTTTTTTCAGCCTATGCATGGGGTTATTTTTATTCGTTCGTTATATGCTAATAAAAGTCTATAAATAAAAGTTATCAGCGAGTTGTTTTTTTTTTTTTTGTCCATTCAAGCAATTGACGCTTATTTCGAAAGTGAAAGTATAACGCGCACGCATTTAAAAGCTATTTAACCCCCCCGCCCTGCCCTCCACGGTGACACCGGGATTACCGGTGTTGTCACACGTCGATTAACCGGTGGGAAATTTTCCTCACCGCGGCAACCCTAATGAGCGCCCCTCGGAAACTTGTGGATATCAAAGTTCTATGAGCTGCTGTGAAAATGCAATAATGTGAGGATGAACTGCTGCAGCCCTGCATTTATTTGACCAAAAATGTGAGCTGATCTTTTATAACAAGATAGATACACATACAGAAACAATACACCAGGAAGTGAATTTAGGGATTAAGGGTTTTAACATTTGCATGACACAGGTTTCCTTAAACCCATTGAAATGATTTGGACAGACATGGATCAGATGAATGAGGAAAAAGGGAAATGTTTCAACATTTCTTAGAAATATATAATAGATTCAAATAAAAAGACTAAAGAATGGCATGATTGAATGGAGAAAATAATGATTAAACAAGATTAATGACACATTATTTAAGAAAAAATCAAATCAATGCAAATACTCCCTGAATATTGAACAGCCCAAATATAGTGTGAATTTGATGACCTCACATTTTCTATCAAATTAAAGCTGAATTACAAATGCTAAAATTGAGGAAATCACAAATGTTTTTTTTTTTTTCCCCCAACTAGTTGTCTTAACTAAGCCAATTAGATTTGCAAGTAAAAAGGCAGTTCACACATTCACATCTCATGATCAAGAAAGTGGTACAGGAAAATCCAGCAAATCTAATCAACAAATCACAAAAAGACACTGATGTTAATAGTGAGAAGAAACTATATTGTTTTCACATTATTTTGTGGCAATCAAGATTAAGCATTGAACAGTCTTGATTAGGCATTTTTAAAAATGTCCTCTTTATGGTTACACAAATAAAAAAAAATATTCTTCGTTTCAGTGAAAAATCGAATTTTAGATTTTAATCAGAAAGATAAAACCAAACAAACAACCAACTAACTAACAAAACACAATCCCTTAAAATCCGCAAGGGTCTACAGGCAGTGGATAACATCACACCAGTTTATACACACACACACACACACACACACACACACACTTAAACACGACAATGTGTGCTCTAAAACACTAGAATTGTCTAAAATACGCACTTTGAAAAACTTGACTCAACTTATCTGCATTAAAAACCTGGAATATCAAGAGCCGGGCAATAAAGAAAATAAATATTAAACAATCAGAAAAAAAGCAGAAAGAGGAGGGTAAAAGTAATGAAAAGAGAGAATAACTAAAGTAAACCTTTAAGACAGATCACTTACATGTACATGTACTTGTCAAGCTTGGCGGCAAAGTGACGAGGCATCTGACCACAGCCGTAGTAATTACGGTCGTTTTCTGGGATGTGATCGACGTCGTGGAACACCACACAGTCCCAGTCCAGGTCTTTCATAGCCTCTTTAAAGCCCACGTTAAACAGCATGGCACGGTTAAACGGCTGAGTACCCGCCTGAAAGCACAAATACATAACTGAAAAAAATGCAGACTAGAACGCGGCAGCACAACAACCCACCAAAAAAACATTTACAAACTGAATCCGCAGGGCTGCAAACTCTCACGAATTCACCGTGACTGGCAAATGTCACATTTTACACGCTCTCGCACCACATATATATTTCCTCAAGCAGAGAAAAATCGTGACAGACAAGATTATTTGATATGAAACAAATTCTGTCAATTTAATTATGAAATTCAAACAATAAATATCGTTTTGGCACTTGTAAATGTGACGTGACAGATCTCAGTTCAAGACGCATTGTGAACCGATTATCTGTTACTCTTTACTACTAGTTAATAGTAAATAAACACATATGATCAATAGGTAAGTTACAGTTCAACTTACCGAAATGCAATAAAATCGATCGATCAGTGTTTAACCGTGGAAAGAGGTCCATTAAACAGCTGGAGAACAATATGTCATGTAACAACCTCAGGAAAGCCATTTAATGACCATAGCAGGTTAGTTGGACTTTGAAATTGCTACAGAAAGGAGCATTTCGCTAAATATGATAATTATTTTAACCTCTATTATATTCTCACCTATATCATTAAAATATTGTAACATTGTTATTGTAAGAAACGCATTATATTTAATTTGAGATGTTATTTTTAACCTTTAATAATAATACCAGCTGACAGGGCTATCTGTATGAGATATTTTTGTTTGGATAACAATTAACATAACACATTAACGCATCTACTGTCCCTAATATTTATCCAAAGGAAGCGATATTGAGTCAAGATCAGAATCAAATCACAAGAATTTAATTGAAATTGTGAAATTTGTGTTAAGCAATAATAAAAACGGTAGCATACCAGTCATTGTACCATCATGTAAACATTGTGTTGTCACTAAACGTAATAAAATTATGTTTTGACAATCACTTTTTCTTTTTTCTTTTTCTTTTATAAAACACATCCCAATCCACCCATTTTATGGTCTGTACGTTATGTCATGTAACATTTTCTCTGTTCAAAATGGCATCTTGTCTTTATGGCTTCTTGTTTCTGATTGCACTTTACCCCAGGGGGGAAATCCAGATCAAATCCCAGAAGGCAAAATCAAAACAAAAAAGTTAAAAATTGTTTTGAACAATTACTTTGAATAATCTATTTAATTCATAAATCAGATTTTTGTGAAAAAATCTGGGATTTTTTTTAGGCCATATTGCCCAGCCCTTATGTTATTATTGTTGATGAGCTCACTAGGAATAACAATAAATATCCAATGGCAAGAAAGTATTGGAGTTAGGGATGCACCGATATGAAAATTTTGGCCGATACCGAGAACCGATAATTCTTTATATTTGAAAGCCGATAACCGATATATCGGCCGATAAATTTAAATCCAAATTTTTATCTAATTTTGAGAGCCTGATTACAAAAACAAGTGTCTCACAATTAAATCCATATCCCAAGCGCACAATTATAATGATGTTCTCATTATAGTGTTGTATAGACGATATGACAGATTTGCGCTGCACGTGGTACCGAACCATATTTTCATTTTTTTTAAAGAGATTTCATTAATATTTCAAGAAAATCAAAAATATATCGGCCACATTTTCTTACCAGGCCGATAATGATAACATTAAAAACGAACATATATCGGCCGATACCGATATGCTGGCCGATATATCGTGCATCCCTAATTGGAGTATTAGAACATATACCTGTTCAATGACATAAAAGGCAAACTGCAAGCGTTGGCGTTGGAGCATAGGGGCGAGATGCTGAAAGAGGATGGGAAGATGCTCATGTCGATTCCTAAAAGGGATTAATATGGCCACCTGAGAGAAAGGATAAGAGAACGACACAAAAACAGTCATGCTGATGTCCTGATGATCTTTTTTAAATGATGCAACCACAACAGTGACACACCTTCCAGCGTGGTTTGCAATCTTTGGGCTTCCAGTGGCCTCCAAATTGAACGTCCAGAAGTTTGAGCCTCACTTCAATCTCCTCCACAGGAACCTCCGTCATATTGACTTCCATCTGACCCTCTGCAAGGAAACACAACACAAGCAAATAAGAAAATGAGATTTGAGAATAAAATTTATGCATGAGAAGTGTGTGAACACTAGGAGTGTGACGAGATTTCTCCTAGTCTCGCGAGACTAAAATGTGATGAAATTTCTTGTCAATAGCCATGAAGGAGCCTGAGGGTGAAATTAGCATAGAATCTGCCACCGCTACAGTTCACAATACATTATAGTGCCCACCGCAGAACCGCCTCCACTGTCGTTTTGCTGTTTTTATAAAAAAATAAACGTCTGCTCATCCAGCACGAGTTGCAGTTGCACACTGTGCAGCACGAATAACAGTCCACTGATCGCGTGTGTGACGATGGCGGAAGATTGGATGCGCAACAGAGCCTAAGCGTCTGCTAAATGTCTTGTAGAATACGTGTTCAGCACCACTGCTCCCTATACACAGAGAATGTGTGATCGCGGATCCGAAAGTAAAACGCGAGCTCCCTGATGCTTGCAAATTAGGCTGCATACAATGGTCTGTCTCCCAATATCAAATCTGTCTCTGGACTGTGTAATTGTGGCTCTGGTCTCAGTTTGCACTTTGAATATTTAGAGAGTACTTTGATTATTGCACTTGCACTTATTGTTTGCAATTAATAAAACTAAGAAAAATACTTATTTTTGTTGTTTATACTGTTTTTATTTCTATGTTCAATTTGTGGAAAGGAGTTCAACTGGGAGTTCACACAAAGCCTCAATCATAAGTTCTGGAAGCTGATAATTAATGGATAGTAAGCTCTGAAAACTTATGAAATCATACAGGAGAGAAGCCAGTCAATTGAGTTTGTGGCAAAACATTTACAGTGCTTATATATTGTGGTCTTTCAATGCATTTGTCAATTCATACCCATAAAGTAGAATACAAAAGACATTCATTACAAGATTATTAATAATTAGCTGATTATTTTTCTAGAAATTATGAATATTGTCATTGAGGATTTCTAAAAAAAATCTCATCTCGTGAGAAGCGTCTCGTCACACCCCTCATGAATACCAGTTAAAAGCTTCTGACAGCCACTTTGATGGGTGTTACTCCCAGAGGGACTAGGGATGCACCTATACCATCTTTTTCAGAATCGATCCGATCCCAAAAATTCTGAGTATCGACTGATACCATCGCAGTTTCTTTTTTAAATCAAGTAGAATTTCTATAACTCTGTGTGTCGGACTGATGATCACTCTTTTGTGTGTTAAACACAACCTACTTAATACAGACAACGTCATTGTAAAGAAAAACAAAAAAATATATATATGATAATAATTTATGACAAAATTGCTATTATAAACTAGATTAGAGGATAATTCAGCAGTAAAATTTAGTCTAGAAAAATCATGCACAATTATTGTATAAAATCTGTGGGGAACAAACAAGAGACAATAAGTGCAACACTAAATCCACACATTGCTTTTTGTATTGTTGTAAAATATTCATGAAAAACTAACAAAACTCATGAAAAACTATAACAAATATCAAAAATATAAAGTATTTTAGATATAGCCTAGGCTACTATAAAATTGAAACATGTTTTAAATGTATAGCACAGCAGTTTAATGAGGCAGCAACATATGATGTCATTGCTTCACTGCATTATGATATGAAAAGCTCCAACACCCGCACTTATGCACATCCCGAGCACAGAATGATGCGCTTGAAGCAACATGGAGTCACAACGCGTCGAGTCCGTATTGAAAAGTTCAAAGTACAAAGGAAATATTGATGCATAGTGTATTATACAGTATCTAGCAATGCAATAGTTAATTGAGCCTTTTCTTTTAACAGTTTTGAATTTGCCATTACGGTCCGTGTGAAAAACAATTATAGTGCTCTTACTCTAGTCACTAGTGCTGTGATCTAACAGGCACCCAGTAAAAAGTTAGGGTGACCATATAATGATTACCAAAAACCAGGACATTCGGCCCCGGCAAACAGATACTCAAATGATACTCGAAGTTTACTCAAAGATGCCTTATTAATTTCAATACATTTAAAGTAGGCTGTATAGAAAATTGATATATTACAAGACACAAATTCAGATAGGCTTCTCAGAGGTTACTCAACATGTATAACAAATAATGACTTAAAATATTAATTTCTATCTCACATTATACTATATAAAGGCTTCAGAACACTTATAATAGAGTGCAAGAAAACTTTATGGTGCTTTATAATGTTTTCGTGCATTTTGTGGGGCTTAACAATAACACAGTATACGCACAATATCGGATTTGGATCAGACTCGTCTGATCGATACCCGATCCGGCAAAAATGACAGTATCGGAGGCGATACTGAGTATCGGATCTGTGCATCCCTAGGCTGTATCCAACCTCACATAGTTTCTCAGAGTATATACTTAATTTGAATAAGTAATTACTTCATGACTGTTGAAAAAGTATGTTAAACTATATAGTATGAAGAGGTACCGCGCCATGTTGTCCTTGTTGTGTGACCTACAGCATCGGTTGCATTGTTTTACTAGCATTCACAAATCCTCTAACATGGCCCTATGGGACAGTAAAGAGTCCATTGGATGTGCATATGACAACAGGCAGAATTATTTGATTATCTGGCAGCGCCACCCTTACATGAATCACCACACCCGCATATTAATTTACTGGTCATTGGACGGGCTTTACTGTTTAATGAATATTACTCTTTTCACAAACTGTTTTTCCATCCACAACATGGGCGATTACAGATGCAGCCCAAAAAGTCAGCCTAATTAGCAAATAGGTTTACCCAATGTGCACTTTCAAGTGTATTTGTATACTTATTTGAGTAACGCATATTTGGCTTAGCAACATTTAACACATAACTGTATTCAAATAATTTTAGTCAAGTTAGACAAATTAATTGTTGAACTTACTCATAGAAGGTAATCGTTCAGGACAGGGCAGGTTCTGAGCATATGTGAAGTTCTCAGGGAGGTATGTGGTTGGCTGAGCGATATACTCGCTAGAATTATTTCCATCAGGATAATCTGTTAAAAACAAATTGAGACGGACACAAATTAAAGTTAGTGTGAATTGCTGTTCCCATTTTATTTCCATAACATGACTTATGAGTAAAAAAGAACGTGAAAAGAATTGAGCCAGACTGAATGAGTGTCTAAATAGCTCTCTGGCTGTAGGTTAAGATCATTCAACAGCCGATATGGTCTATGACACCAGGGAATTTGTGAATTACATTCTGACTTTGCAAAAAGACATTTTTTTTGGCCATAATGAATGAACAACATAATGAATAGTTCACACTCACAGTGAGACCGGGGACATTCAATAAGTGAGAAAATAAGGTCATATTGAAGCAGAGGAACAGGAACTACTTAGCCAAAAGTATACCACACATGTCACTGTTCCACTCCAGCTTGTGTGATGTAAATTTAATTGTTAGCACAGTTCTCTGATGTCCATTTAAACAATTTTTTATGCACACGGACAACAACAATACATGAGCAAGCCATTTGAGCACTGAAAAACAAAGGTCCAGGATGTAGTACGAACTCACTGAACACATCCATCTGCATTCACGGTCAATGGAGTATATTTTGAAAAACTTGCAAGCTCAACTGTGCGCTACACAAAGCAAAACGCGGAACAGTATCCTGGGCCTTTGCAATAGAGTTCAGTTCAAAGATCAGCCTGATCAATGTTATTATGAAGAGATGTTGTTGACTCTTACCTGTGCCGTTGAGTGTACTGTTTTTATTGGTGTATAGCCTGATCATGTGACCAATGGTCCGCACATTGTCTCGTAACATGATACCCTGAGCCTGTACCATGAAGAAATAGGTGTTGACTGAAACAGAGAAAGAGAGAGGGTGTTTAAGGAATTTCCCCAATGAAGTAAAGAGGAAACAGTGCAATGACCAAGCACCGCAGACCTGCTGGATTTAAAAAAAATGTGCAAATTTTCACATTGTAAAACATTTGTAACTGGACAGGAAAACTGAAAGCTTTTCCCCCCTCTTCCTGAGAGGCACTGAGAAGCTCTTAAGAAAATGGCAAATGCTGAAACTATAATTAGATATCATTGTAAGCATCAAGAGCCGCGTTTCCACTGCCGGGCCAGGGCCGGGCCGTGCTAGTGCGTGCCAGGGCCAGTCGCGTTTCCACTGTCACTTCCGGGGCTTGATCGGGGCTTCCTCAGGGCCAACGGCCAGGATTTCTGGCCCGTCGAATACCTTGGGCCAGAGGGGGCCAGCTCGTGCTAGAGGCGTGCTCAAGGTAAAAGGCGGAGTTTATCGGTGTTATGGAACGTTATGATCTGAAGCAAGATGCACATAGGGGTGTCCATGTTTAACCGATTAACCGTTTAAAATTGCATAACATTTTAATTTGAACTGTAGGCCTATGCCAAATGCTGCGCAACAATACATAGGCTATATATAGGCTACATATCGATGAATTTTCAGATATTTGTTTGATTTTTTTGCCCCTTAAACATTTAAAATATTTGACAAATTAATATGAAAAAAATATATAGGCCTATTTTACTGGTTTTCTGAGGCCAAATTAGAACCTGGAAATGATATTTTCCCTGCAGTGCTGAATGAGAAGAGCCGTAACCACAGCCTACAGAAAGGGGATTATAGGTAATTTATAGGCTATAATAAATGTGTCTGATAATAAAATAATATAAAATAACGAGGCATTAATTGTTTATTAATAAACTATTGTTTTCTAAATGATTTTCGGCTAAAAACATATCTCCATCTCCGGATGCACATTTAGAGAGAAATTAAGCTACATAAACATAGAAGATATTGGCTTTCGATTCGAATTTGTTCGTTTTAAATTGGACATTTAAGGATATAACCCCTGTAGAACCCCTGTAGACTAAAGCTTTAAATGTCCAATTTAAAATGAACAAATTCGAATGCGGTGCTGTTTCAGGTCTCGCGCTTCAGTTCACGGAGATCATGAAGCGCGCCTTGCACAACGTTTTCTTGTTATAAATAAATGTATTTGCGAATAATGTATTATTATTTTCTGTATGACCAGAAATTAAAGAGTATTTTAAGTTGTTTCCACTGAAAGAAATGCAATGAAACTGTTCACATGGGCGTCTCGCAGCCATCAGTGCGTGCTCCACACACACTGGATATGCGCTGATATTTGTCAAAAATATTGTGTTTATTTGTGCTCTGTTCCTTTTTTGGATAAAGGCATCTTCTACATATGCAGCCTAATAAAATGTTACAATAATAATGATGATGGTTATTATATTATTATTATTATTATTTGCAGACACAGAGTTTTTGTGAAATGGACGTTTTGCTTATTTTCAATTGGCAATTTCAGTTTGAAGGGTGATGGAAATGGGGCTTTAACTGCTCCGTACTTGCTGCGTTTTATTTCTATAAATTAATTTCGTTTCAAATGGGGTCCAATCAGTTATTAAAGGTGTTAAAAATTTACTCTGTATCTCGAGGTTGCGGCGCGCACACTATGCACCGAGTATTAACCGATGGGCCTCGGTTAACGATTAATGAATAACTTGAAAACGTGCCCGCGGCCCCGCGCAGCCTGTTATATCGCGCAAAAAAATCGCTGCTTGAAATGGAGAATTGCCTGTACTGGTCTCGTGACACTATTGCAGCCACTACGGCAGGTGAGTTAATATACATGCTATCTTCCTAATTTACAAAATAAGTTAATTCATAATACCCGCTGAAATGGGTTGGGTTTTATGACGTTTGATCCTGAAAGGCGTGTTAGGGGTGGGGTCTGGGGCAGCGCTGTGGGGCTACTGGCCCGGCAGTGGAAACGCAAGCCCGGTGCTTGAGGCCCGAGGCCACTAGCTCGGCCCGGCTCGCTGTTAGCTCTGGCCCAGCCCTAGCCCGGCAGTGGAAACGCGGCTAATGGCTGTCTGTGGTTTAGCCTCAGCTCTTGTTAGTGTAATGTAGTTTTGTATTAGGTCAAAATTTCCAAGTCCAGATTTCAGAAGAAATGAACCGAGATAAGGAAAATGTCAACCATTACGCATTAACTGCAGGTCTGAAGGGAAGGAGAGATTCACATCCTGCTATGGGACAAACTATGTAAGCAGCAGACAAGGATAAACTCTTGACATTTAGACTAATATATGAATTACTGAATAATCTTTTGGTTACTGCATAAAGGACAAGCTTGTTTGCATGTATACACAAATATAAATATGTATTTATATTTAACCCTTCAAAATTTCAGGGGCCAGTAAGATATGTTTTAGAAAGAAAATAAAGTATTACTTTTATTAGGAGAGTATGCAATAACTTGATTAAAAGTGAAAGTAAAGACAAGATTCAAGATTTCCATTCTGTTCCATAAATGCTGTTCTTTCAGTAGTTGCTTTCTATTATACAGAAAAGTGATACTGGTTCTGATTTTTTCTCTTTCTCTTTGATGAATAGAAAGTTTTCCATTTATCAAAGAATCCTGAAAAAAATCTGTATGTAAATCGGTATATTTCAATAAAAGCTCCTTGAGTATCAAATCAGCATGATTTCTGAAGGAACTTAAGAATAAAAGGCTAGAGAAATATTCAGCTTTCCCATTAGAGAATTAAATTACATTTTAAAATGTACATTTAAAATAAAATAAAACGGTTATGGGTTTAATCGATCAAATTTCAAAAAACTTCCCCGGCTTTTAATCCTTTTTTAAGTAGTAAGACAAATATAGTGATGAAAAAGCCAATATTTTAAATGTCATGGCCATGGATGGATATTTACTGGGTAATAATTAACTATTTGTTAGAGGGGGGACAAAAGTTACCATTTTTACCTGAGAGTTTGAGCCAAATTACAGGGGGGTAAAAAATGACTTCAGAAAGATGACATCATTATTTTATTTTTACACCGAGATTGTAATCGCCAAGGTGACCGTTCAACTTATGCATTTAAAATGCACAAAGCTACACAACTTTGACAAGTGTACTAAAGAGGGCCAAAGACAGGCATTAACAACAATACACTGTACATTTTAGATAACACATCAGTTGACATTTTAGTTTGAGATTATCAGTATTGGCCGATAACTGCTGTATAAAAAAAATCATTCAAGTTGTTCTGTTCTCTCTTTAGTTCATTTTGCTGAAATAGTGTAAAATAAAACTAATTTCATTAATATTGTTCTTTGTTCATGTATCACATATAAAAATTGTATTTCATATTTACAAGAAATTATATATTTAATTAATTTTGAAAGTGGCCAAAACAAATAATGACACCCAAACACCAAAGCCATTTTTTGTTGTTTACCATTTAGCCTTACTTCTATACGATTTATGGACATCACTCGCAGGGGAATCCTCACCTTGTAAACGAAAAGGCTCTATATGGGTGTAGTCCAAAGAAAAAGTATTTTATATGTAAAATAGAACTGGTTGTCCACATAAATACATAGATATCAGATTTGCATAATAATGAAAACCTAAATTATCCATATTCCAAAAAAAATAGCTTTTCTGTATGGAAACACCAAGTAGATTCCCAACGCTGATACAAATCTTCAAGCCAGAATATAAACAGCAGCCATTAATGGTACAAAACAATTAACTAAGTTATTAACAATTAACCAAGCCAAGGACAAAAAACAAAAAAAAACACATTGGTTCTTCCCAGAGCTCTTCATATATTAGACACAGTCCAGTGAACACGGGTCAAACAACAGTGAGGAAAACATTACCTTTCTTGGGCACTGATTATACAAACACAGCAAGAGCTATTAAACAGGATTTGGTTGTGTGTTCCTGGTGTAGTGGATGTGTTGGAGGGTTGCCTAGAGTAAGATTTTACAGACACTGAAGAAAAGAACTGCAGACTGATGTGTCAAGTCCACAAATCAACACATAACTGTTATTCAAGGCTGTGAAATCCCTGCTTTATTTGATATTCTAACAGGACAACAACATTCATCAAGCTGATGTTAAAGATTACAGCTGGTCAACAGCAACAAAAAGTTTGTGAAGACATTCAGTTAAGCAAGTCGAGACAAACTGGAAACGATTTAAGACACGTGTGTGCGAGCATCCCAATACAGCTACAGTGTAAAGAGAGAGTACATTATTATTAGTGTTTCTAAACACGCATTGTTGTAATAATGACAAAGGGTTTGCTTTAAAGTAGCCTACACTTTAAATCAATATGCTTTATCTTTTGTCATGCTTTTAAAGAAGTAGCCTACTTATTCTAAACTGACTAACATGCTAAAGGCCTGTTCACACCGGGACGAATTTCGCGCGCGTTATTCGTCGACGTTTAACGCCTCGTGACTAAACAATGGGCGCCAATGTGAGTGTTCACACTGACGCGAAAAACGCCACGCGTAAAAGCGTCATTTTTTAAAAAACGCCTCGGGTTCGTTTTTTTTGGTTTGACGCGCCGCGTCAAAACCTGTCCGACCAACGAGATTGGCGGGTTTGCTCACGTGTCTGGTACTTGTGAAGTTACAGTAAAACACAACTTGAGGGCGCTCAAACACAAAACGGTCTTGCCGAGCACACATACGGCGAAGAAGAGACAAGATACCTATGGGCATTGGGCAAGATGAATCATGTTGAGCTGCTGGTCTCGGAGAATAAAGAGCTATAAGATAATATTTATATTAGTATTTCTGTAATAATAGTATAGTATAGGGTGACCAACAGTCCTGTTTTCCCGGGACATGTGTAAAGCGGTCACTTTGTGCTTTATAGAAATCTGAGTTGATGAGAACTGCGCATAGTGTGCGTAATGTCAGTTAGATTTTGACAAGTGAGGAGAGGAGAACCGCTCTGCCGACTCTTTCTATTCTTTCTTTTATTTTATTTTCTATTGTGACCAGATGTTTGTTTGTGTTTTTTTTTCTCGCTCGATCCCCGTGTATGAGGAGGAGTGTGACGTTTGAGTGGTTTTATTAAACGCGGGGAAATACGACAACTCTCGTCTCTCGTGCATCTGTTCATCCGACAACTGCTATGTTTTTATCTCTGGGCAACATCTCAACTGTGCGTTACACATGTCCTGTTTCCACGTCCTGTCCTGACTGTTTTTAAGTGATGAAAATGTCCTGGTTCTCAAAAAAACTGCTGGAAAAGATCAGTCCTACAGCAAAATATAGATGGGCAAACAAGGTGGACGAGGAAGAAAAACAAGATAAAGAGAATAAAAACTAAAGATATGAATAGATTTTGTTATTCGTTTTTGTAAGTGTGTGAGAGCTATTTTTTTTTTTACATTTGGAGGCATTTCTTTTAGTTATTTATTATTTATATATTTTTCTAATACAGAAGACATTATTTCTATCATTATTTCATTTGTTTTTTTCTATCTGTCATAATAAAACATTGAGACATGAATATGATCACCCTAGTATAGTATTCTATTATTATTTCTGTTTTACATTAAGCGCCATCTAATGTCAGGGAATGAATTTGCATGTTCACTCGGCTCATCGTCAGCGAAAAACGCTTGGGTGTGAACACAAAAAACGCGTTGAAAAACGCTGACGAATAACGCACGCTGATATTCGTCCCGGTGTGTACAGGCCTTAAAGCAAATGTAAGGTATTGGTTCTAATTTTAACTGGACTGTGCTACTTGACATTACATTTATTGTTACATTTAAAGTTAACATTGTAATTGTAGCTACTACTACAATGCTATTTTACCACTGATAATTACGATTATATACAAGTTTAAATAGAAATGACATTAAAGGTTATCATAAATACTTGTCAATATATTTGGCACTTAAACCATTTCAAAGACCTAGATATGAAATTACATAGTTTCATTACAAGGTGTACTCAAGTACTTGGGTCAGCTGTTCACTTCACCCTAAAGCCATCCTAGGTATGACATTCTTCTTTCAGTCAAACAAACACAATCATAGTTTTATTAAAAAAAATATCCTGGCTCTTCCAAAAGTTATAATGGGAGTGCATGGTACATTAGATTTTTAGGCCCCATCCACCATACAAATAATCCATATGACTCCATGGAGTTAATAAAGGCCTTCTGAAGTGAAATGATGTGTTTTTGTAAGAAAAAAATCCAGATTTATAACTTTATACTATCTTGCCGAGCGATTTTTGCACTTTAGATCGGTCGTGGGCCCTGTGTCTCATCTGGTTGTCTATTGATGGGAACATTGCTCAAAAAGTTGCTCTGTGTATCATCACCTTCTGGAGGAAGTCGTATGCTAAATCTACTAGGATGGCTTGAGGGTGAGTAAATGATGGGATCATTTTATTTTCTTTGGATGAACTAAACCTCAACTAAGTATTTCAACTAAATATACATTTAAAATATAGAAATACAATTAATTTAATTGTAAATATCATAATAGCTAAACCAACCAACCTGAAATCTACTGATACATATTAGAACTAGGACACCATTGATGGCTTTAAAATATATTAGGTATAACGATAATTAAAAAAAAACTGGGTGATAAGCCTCAATGACAAATTAACCTTCAGTAGTCATGTGGTTTATGATATGAGCAAGTCCAACAAGAGGTAATTGACCTTTACACAGCTTTATTCAATATATCTCAAGGAGGAACATACTAAAAGTCGAATCTGAATTTACTGTGCTCGCATATCTAACACCGTCTGCGTTTCAAAAGCTATGAGTCGCCTAACTGGATGGCATTTCTGAGCATCACAGAAATAGCAATTCAATGCCAGTTTAGTTAGATAGCTCACTGGGTTTTATAAACACAGCCTGTCACTAGTGCTTGTTTGGGAGGTGATGGTCAGTATCTGGAGTCAGTGATGTATGAAACACGATTAACACGTTTAATCACATCACACGTGATGCTGGGAGTTATCAGACGGACTCACCTATTCCAGGAGCCGCATAAATGAAGTAGAGGCAGGTCGTGGACATGGAGAAGAAAAAGATGAAGGCCATTAAGGAGCGGTTGGACAACCGCATCAACCGCCTCCACTTCAACATTTTATCCCGGCTACTAGCTATCCGTCACTCCCATAAAAACACAGAACGGAGAAAAGAGATGCTGTTTGGTGGGGTGAAACGGTCATCCGTGGGAAATGGGGAGCTAACGTTAAATCAGGGTGCTGGTAAAGTCCGCATCATTCATTCAGTTGGATGCAAGGCCGCAGTGCTCGATCGCTCTCCCAACAAAGTCAAGAAAATTCCAGATCAAAAAAATAAATAAATAATAAAACGTGCAACATCAAACGGCGTCCGGGCTCGGCGTGCGGTCAACGCGATTCATTTTGTTCGGTGCAGCTGCTGCTGCTGCTGCTGGTTTAATGTTGCGGTGTGTTTCTAGTGAGCGCAGACACGCCTCGACGCGTTGATGATGATGATATGTTTGGAGATGATGAAGGGAGTGAATGTGATGGTGATGAGGGACCTGCCCTTCCTCCCACTTCTCCCTCTCTGTAAAATCCCCCCACACTCCAGCGATCAGCCCTCCGAAACGGCGGCGTGAAGAGGAAATCGACCCGCAGAGCAAACCGCGACGAGCGGGGTGGGAGTGGGAGAGCCGACAGAACCGTGACGAGGCTCGAACGGGATTCCTTTGATTTCGGTTCTGCTGTCGGTGCAGGTGCAGACTCGTTTCCGGTAGGCGTGACCTACAAAATGGCTGCCAGTGAGAGGCTCACGCATGAGTAATGTTTTCAAAATAAAGGTCTTCACGGGCCGGTTGCAGAAAACATCCGAACTTCAGATAAAAATGCTGATAAAAATCTAAATACATGAAACATTTGAACGATTTGAAGATGGATGGACAAATTTCAGCAAAGGTACCTATCTTATACCACTGAAAGAGGTGCTGAAATATTTTAAAATTTTAAGCTTTATTTTGTTAAAAACGTTTTTGAGCTCCCATTTGGTAATACACAACTACTTCTATTCGACGGTGCATCTATAATAGATATGCAGAGAATGCAGATAAGAGGCTACTGTGCACATAAAACTGTGCAAATATATATATATATATATATATATATATATATAAATTTTCTTTTTCACACCCGACAGACAGACTGATTAGCATCTTTGGACTAGGCTTAAATGTATGATGTATCTAAAATTGACTTCACAAGTCAGTCACACACGACAAGCATCTCTAAACTCTGATAGTCTTCACTCTTCGGGCATACAGAAGCAATGAAGTCCATGTCATTTACGTCCATGAGAGGGACAGGGTGGTTATTCTTTCTAATCAAATGAGCTTCATGGTTTATATCAACCTGATTAATGCATGTTGTTCAATGTTTACACCTGCAATAAACCTTATTAAGAGCAAAAATGAATTAAAAACTATGACATAACATAGTAAAGCACATTAATATAAATTCAGAACTTAAACTGTAACCTTGTGTTGTTGTCTTGATTTAAACAATAAATAAATAAATCTGCTTATAAGTATATGTCAAAATAAAAAAAATAAAAAAGTATTCAAAAAATTGAAAATACATTTGAGTTTCCATATTAAAGGTCATGTTTCATACGCACAATATTTGCCCTGTTCTCTCTGTTTCATAGTATTATATTTAACTCACAATATAGTGGTGGCTACGGACCTGTTCTGCATAAACAAAGAGGCTACTGTAGTTTCCTCATGTGAGTGAAAGACAGTTTATTTGAGTATTGACTAGGCCTCTAAAGTATGGTCTGTCTTACATTTACAATTGAATAAGAAATATTTATTTATGTGTGGTAACTTAAGTGGGGAAAAATTAATATGACCTATAGTACTTGTCATTACTTAGCCTATGACTGTATTTGTTGTTTGTCATTGTCACTGACAAAGACAACCACTTGAGGACAAACAATAAAGGCCATTCTCCCCAAAAAAACATTATTTTTTTGTCTGTGTAAATATTGTAACCACATGATTAAAGATTAATTATGAAGTTAAAAACATTTTTTTATTATGCAAACAAAGACTGCCACTATGCATGTGACAAATACTGTCTTTTGTGAAATGGTAGGCCACTGTTTACCTTATTTGTTTGAGATGTTATCGATTCCTGGAAAATAGTAGTAGGCTACTGAAATAGTCACAATGTACATTAACTTTTTGTCTAAAAAATATTTTAATATCTTAAACGAGAACTTTAGGATTTTTTGTTGCTGTTGTTGTTTTTATTCAGTAGGCTAGCTATTAATTTTTTTCACAACGAGCAAATACATGAGCAAATACACACCCTTCGCACATAAAACAGCTTCAACCACAATCTGCAATCTGACCACAATCTGGGTGGGTATATGTATGTTTTGATCTAATGGGCAATATGAGCTTGTGCAATTTACATTTGAACATACGAAAGCAGCATTAGTTTGCTCTGACAGCCACAAAACCACGCTGAATGCTGTGAGTTTGTGTTAGAAATCAGGAATGGTGAGAGAACACTGTGCTTTTACGTTTTTAGTCTTCAAACAAAACTTGGGTCTTCAGCCGACAAAGTTTAAATCCCGTCTGACTAGCAAGCTTGCCGTAATGTTACACTTTAGGTCAGTAGGCAGTCTTTTGTGGCTGTTTGAACGCTTTCAACCACATAAATGTTTACACTGTAAAGCAATTTGGTCAAAAGCGTTTTCGTCTGGAAGTGGTCGAAAGTGGACAAGCTCAAAATGTTTTAGACCCCATTTACACCTATATTTAGCGTAGTCCACTTGTAAACCAATCGATCAAAACGCATCTTAATACCAGATGTAAACAGGGCCTATTTTTAATTTTTATTTTGGCTTAACCAACTTAATGTAATGTTCAGTTTGCATCAAAATTAGGTTAAACCAACAAACTTTATATCTTAAACTTACTAAACATAACACCATTAAAAACAGGTCTTTCCCAAAACGTACAATTATGCTTTCTTTCAACATTTACCCTCCTATGCAAAGCATGCTTGAAACTAGAAATCCACTGTACATTTTTTAAAGTTATCAAGACTATTTTATCAGTTAGTGCAAGTGCAAGTTACTGAAACTTAACTTTTGAAAAAGAATCAATTAAATTACTCACACTGTAATTTAAAAACCTTATTTTGTCAACAGAAAAAAATATGTTTGCAACTAAAAAAAATTAATTTAATCATTAAATTCCGATTTTTAACTTGCAATGCTTTTTTATTATTATTTTTTTTTTTTTTTTTAATTTTTTTTTTTTTTTGTGGCAATAGGTCCCATGAATTTCTTTTTGGAGTGTACATAACTGCTGAAACCAACACTAGTCTATATAACATCTGTGGCGGTAACACATTCAGACTGAATAACACTGAGTGCTTTAGTATGGCCTCCGACCAGACTTCCTTGAAACTAATGACAGGGAGGCTGATCATTTGAAGCAAGACCTCCGTTCGATCAGATCCCATTTTCATCCAAGGTCGTTCTAAAGGTCCTTTCAAAAATGCTTCAGATTTCATATTTTCATAAACAATGCTTTATGGCTGCTGGAGGAATGCCAGCCAGCAAAGTGCCTTTAAAAGCAGCTGATGCATCAACGGAGATCAAGGTGAAAACGAAAACCAAATGACACTGGAGAAATGCCATGAGGTTTTCTTTTTCTTTTTTTATTTATTTTTTTATTGCAATATGACTTTCAATGTTTGAATTGCAAAGGATAGAAAGGAAGGGAACAAAGATCTAAATTGTGCTTTTAACTTTGTGGCAGAAGCTTTTTATGTAAAGCAATTTACAGACATGAATTGGTGTTCCTGTGACAGGGGAGAACATGATACGACATGACTGCTATCAACAGCTGAACTTGTCCTACATTACAACACTGAGTGATTTATTCTTCTCTGCAGTCTCAAAAAACATGTTTTTTTAAAATGCTCAGAGCTGGATAGCATAATTTCTATATTGGTCTATAATGTGTCAACACCTACCACGCATCTAAACAGATTGGCTAATACAATCTTTTCAACAGACTAAATTAACTTTCTAAATACTAATTTACACCATAATACTTCTGCTTTTTAGTAATTACTTAGTAATTATATATATATATAATATAATATATATATGTGTGTGTGTGTGTGTGTTGTTTTTTGTGTTGTTTTATTTTTGCTTCATCGGAATGGGGTGACACTTGGTGACTTTTGTCACATTACCGATGTGAACACACAAAAAACATGTACATGATTCGGTGATTCGGATAAGGTAAAAGACCGACAAAAGAATCAATGGGAAATATGAAAAAATATGAAAACTCATGAGAATCTTTTGGTGGTACAAACTATAAATCAGCCACTGTGCATAAAAAAGTGCATGCACAGCAATGAAGGAGTGATACTCACAACTTTAAAGGCCTTCATGGTATGTTGGAATTTTAGTCTATGCGATTCTTTTTTATTGAGTTTAACAAATTTACCCACTTTTTAAAAATGACTGACTTCACCCAAACTTACTGACAAAGTTTGGAAAGTTAATTTCCAAAAAACATTATTTAGTTGCATTTGTTAAACTTATCACTGTCACAATCCTCAATCAGTGACAGAACAACCGGCCAAAAGGAATGGACTTGTGAGAGCCGGGACTTTTTAAACCTTCACTAGACAATTCTGCTGCCTTGAAGTCACAGTTCAGGATCAGGGCACAATTACCATCACCCCATAGAGACCTCCCAGAAACCTCTGCTACTGGAGGGACGCTATCAATGCTCCAGCTCCGCCTCTGCTGGAGGTTGTCAGCCCTGCACCATCTCTTATGCCAAGCACTCACGTCGAGCCTCAGGTCCTACAGCCACCATCAGCGCCTGAGCAGAATAGATCCAGTGGCTCTACTTCCGGCCTCAGATCGTCTCGCTCCATCTCGGCCCATCGACCTGTAGGCTCCACCATGGCTTCAACCACCGTTGGCTCCACCAGACACCATCGGGCTTTCGACTTCACCGGGTTCCCTCGTCCCACCAGCTCCCCCTTGTTCAGTTGTCAAACCACCTTTGCCACAGCTGCAGGCTCCTCCTTCCCTTTGGGTATGCCTTGGTCCTCCATAACATCGTCTCAATACTGGGGCAGTCTATAAAAATTATTAAAATCAATCAGTTGTACGATAGACAGAGGATGGTTGTAACACTTTTTCAAGAAGTGTTACAACCCACCCCACCCCTGTCAGTCACTGTTTAGATAGCCAAAGAAACTACATTTTAATCTAATATAAGTCAAACTATTTTATCGCCAATTGTTTAGATACTAGACAAAAAATTGTCTTGGTCAAAATAGAATGTGTCTGTTTCCCGACTTGACAACCAACCACCAACCAGTTTCAGGAAGGAAGTAGGTAAATACTGAAATGATCACATGACGCCTATCTTATCTCTAAGTGCTGGTGGAAATGGTGGTGTTACAATTAAAAATAACCATACCCAGTCTCCCCTATGTTATGCACGCTGTTATGCCTGTCTACCTTTTTGTTTTATTTTATCACGTTTATATTTTAATCCAGTCTTCATCTGTCTTTATCCTCCTAATCCTGTGGCGATCAATGTATTGCCTACTTCTGACCTTTAGATGGAGACACTGCACACTTGTATGTAAACATGGTTCAATATAAATTTAAGTGGCAAATCTCTAAGTAGGCCTACTACATTGATTCTATCATCTAGGTTATCTTTTGTTTTCATTTTGATAAGTTTTCTGAAGGACCTGTCAAGTGTATGATGCCGAAGATGAGGACAGGCGAACTGCATTATTGTTGATTTATTTAAAAATTCAACTTACAGAAACAAAGGAAACCTCTCCAGGACTTCAAACACACACACAACCATAAATTGACAACGACCAACCAACACTGAGGGAAAACACAGGGCTTAAATGAACAGGGACTAATGGGATAATTAACAGAACATAGGTGAAGGGAATTGTTAATTAAACAGACTGGGAAACACTAACTGGACTAAACCAAAACCACAAAAGACAGGGGGAAACAAAATCACAAAACAGAACATAAACACACTGAAATGTGACAGGACCAGCTTTCCCAGGGTTTTGAAAGTGAATAGACACAATGGTCTAACTTGAATAAAAAGCACACTCTAAAAATGCTGGGTTGTTTTAACCCAATTTTGGGTCAAATATGGACAAACCCGAAATGTTGGGTTAAAAATGTAATGTAAAAATTTAACCCAACGGCTGGGTTAGTCCATATTTGACCCAAAGTTGGGTTAAAACAACCCAGCATTTTTTAGAGTGCAATCAGCTGATGTATAATAATACCCATTCAAGTGTCATATCACATGTTTGCCACCAGAGATCACTATAATTTTATTTCTAATAAATCATTGTCACCTATTTCTCATCATCTTTAATTCTCATATTTTTACTTTGCAGTCTGATCTCATTACATATTATTCATTGACACATCTATCTGACATAGAAGTGTGGTATATTATAGTACCGAATGATACTGTAAAGACAGTCTGAAAAAAAGGTAATTTGAAGGCTTCTTTTACTTTTAGAAGGGTGTTTGTTTTGTTTGGTTTTAACTGATTAAATATTCACTTCTTCCAGCATTAGTTTGTGCTCTCTGTGCTATTAACCCTCCTGTTCAAACTGCTTGAACTGCTGGTTATACCTTTTTTTTCTTTAAATTATGTGACCTTTTCTCATTTAGTGCAATGAACGCATGCAAAGTTGACACATTTGACACATTGTTTTGGAAAGGCTGTACTATTTTGGTGACAATGACTGTGTCCGGGCCAAAAGTCAACCCATTCAATAACAGTAGAGACAGGAAAAAACAGAAAAGCTTTATTGTAGTTTGTCAAAAACTAAAATATGAGAACTTATGAAAGGTAAAGCCATAAGGTAAAGTACACCCTAAAAATGCTGCATTGTTTCAATCCAAATTTGGGTCAAATATGGACAAACTCAAATATTGGGTTAAAAATTTAATAATAAAAAAATAACAGAAAGTTGAAAATTACATTTTTAAACCAACATTTGGGTTTGTCCATATTTGATCCAAATTTGGGTTAAAACAACCCAGCATTTTTAGAGTATATACTTACATACACACACACTCACCTAAAGGATTATTAGAGTTATTAGAACCTGTTCAATTTCTAATTAATGCAATTATCTAATCAACCAATCACATGGCAGTTGCTTCAATGCATTTAGGGGTGTGGTCCTGGTCGTATGCTAGAGGAGAATGGGCCGACTGATTCAAGCTGATAGAAGAGCAACTTTGACTGAAATAACCTTACAACCGAGGTATGCAGAAAAGCATTTGTGAAGCCACAACACGCACAACCTTAAAGCAGATGGGCTACAACAGCAGAAGACCCCACCGGGTACCACTCATGTCCACTAAAAATTGGAAAAAGAGGCTACAATTTGCAAGAGCTCACCAAAATTGGACAGTTGAAGACTGGAAAAATGCATTCAGATGGTAGAGTCAGAATTTGCCGTAAACAAAGAACATGGATCCATCATGCTTTGTTACCACTCTGCAGGCTGCTGGGTGGTG